CTAACTAATCCACCTGGAGGGTCAGGAATGCTGTGTCTAGCTCAGGTTCCAGGTGGTACCTCTTACGTGCTTATGACATTTGCACATCATGGGCAAATGCCAATTCTGTTCATCCAGCTGATGGCAGGCCCAAGGAACCAAGAAGGACATGAGGAATTAATACAAAAAAGGTTCTTTATTATTGCTCACCTATAGACAGGAATCTTACCAGACTCACACACTTATCTGCATCATTATTGGATATACCCTGTGAACTGTTGAGGGGGGCACTTTCGCTCTTCTCTTGAATACCAAAGATTGGAAGCTGTGTTGTCTCTTTGCTCCCTGGGAAAGCAGGGGTGGGGTTTCTGGGGGTTTGCATGGGTTCAGGAGAACCTCTAGTTAAAATTCTGTGCAGTTCAGAGAACCCCCAAATCCCACTCCTGGCTGGCCCCACACACTCTGCTCCTCCCCTCCCAGGAGTCCCCAAGCAGACCATTTTGGATGCAGGTAAGTGCAGGATGTGCATGGAGGCTTGGGGAGGGCAAAAAACAGGCCTACCGGAAGTTCGGGAAGGAAGGCCGGAAACAGGCCAATTTCTGGCCTCCAGAGGGCCTCCGGAGCCTGGGGAGGCCATTTTTGTCCTCCCGGAGGCTCGAGGAAAGCCTCTGGAGCCTGGGGAAGGTAAAAATGCTCCCCCCCTGCCGTGATGCAGGAGGCCGACTAGGCCACGCCCACCATGGCCACACCCACCCAGCAACCATGCAGAGAACCCTTTGCTAAAATTTTTGAAGCCCATCCCTTGCTTCTGTGACTTTGGGCTAACTTCTATCACACCTGGGATACACAGAGGCATAGAATCAAAATCAAGGGAAGTATCGCTTTATGAAATCTTAGTAAAACCACATCTGGAATACTGCATCCAGTCACCTCGGTACAAAAAAGCACCAAAGAAGGCAAGAAAAGAAACAATGGATGGAAACTAATCAAGGAAAGAAGCAACCTGGAATTAAGAAACTTTCTAAGAGTGAGAACAATTAACCAGTGGAACAGCTTGCCACCAGAAATCGTGGGTGCTCCATCACTGAAGGTTTTTAAGAAGAGACTGGACAGCCACTTGTCTGAAATGGTGCTTGAGCAATGGTTTGGACCAGTGGTGGGTTGCCCCCGGTTCAGACCGGTTCGCAAGAACTGGTAGTAAAACCAGCGGGAGGCCCCGCCCACCACCCCGGATGTCATCATTGGCGATCTGTGCATGCGCGATCCCATTGTGAACCAGTAGTAAAGGTAAGTAGAACCCACCCCTCGTTTGAACTAGAAGTCCTCCAAAGTCCCTTCCAGCTCTTTTCTGAATGGGACTACATTAAGTCAAAGCTGAACGGGATGGGTTTGATCATCTCATTCAAAATACCATATGTTTTGGTGTATAAGACACACTTCTTCCCCCCTTAAGAGTGGGTGGAAATTTAGGTGCAACTTATAAACCAGATATGGGTGTTTTTTGGCCTCCCAGACTGTCTGTGCGTCATGTTTCACCCACCCCAGCTGCCAGAAGCATTCTGCAATGCTCTGATGAAAGCATGATGAAAACGGGCCCATTTTTTGCCAAAAATGGGGGCGTTTTTGGGCTCCCAAGCCCTTCACGCGTCACGTTTTTGCCCTCCCCGGCCCCCAGAAGCACTCTGCAGCAGGGGTGGGTTCTACTTACCTTTACCACCGGTTCGCAACGGGATTGCACATGTGCAGATCGCCGATGATGACATCTGAGGTGGTGGGCGGGGCCTCCCACCAGTTTTACTACCAGTTCTTGTGAACCGGTCTGAACCGGGAGCAACCCACCACTGCTCTGCAGGCGAAAAACGGCCACATTTTTGTCAAAAACGGGCCGTGCGGAGCACTGCAGAGTGCTTCTGGGGGCCTGGGAGGGCGAAAATCTGACGCGCGGAGGCCAAAAGCTATTTTTTTCTTGTTTTCCTCCTATAAATTTAGGTGTGTCTTATAGTCCGAAAAATATTAACTTTCCCCCTGATAAATCTGAAAAGGACAAAATGCAATGGATCAGGAGAAAAATGGAAGGCATAATCAACTGGGAAGTTTTCCTGGTTGGACTCCCTGAAATTGGATTTGCATAGGCCTTCACTTGTTGGAAGAGGCTATGGACCTATTTCTGTTGGATCCAGATTTTATTTATTTATTTATTTATTATTTTGATTTATATGCCGCCCTTCTCCGAAGACTCAGGGCGGCTTACAATGTGTTAAGCAATAGCCTTCCTACTTTTGTATATACCTGCTTAGTAGGGCTTTCGGGCCCCCCCCAAGCGGTGTTCTTTTTTATACAAAGTCAGCTTATTGCCCCCACAATCCAGGTCCTCATTTTACCTACCTCGGAAGGATGGAAGGCTGGTGAGATTTGAACTTGCAGTAATTGCAGGCAGCTGGCAGCTAAATACTACTTTAACAGCACTTAGCCCACTGCGCCACCAAGGCTTGGTGCAAGCTTGGTGCAGAGGCTCTTTTAGTGGAAGTTTCTCCTTCAGGGTCCTTGACTTTGTTTCACAGACAAATAAATACTCTCCTGTCACTCCCAAGAAGTGGAAAACGATCAGAGAGCTCCTTCTTCCGAGATCGTGCTTGAGGTTTAGTGTTGCTCTTCTTAAGAAAGGCCGGTCCTTCTTCAGATACAAATGTTGTTTTAAGTTGTGCTGATAATGAAGCAGAATATAGATAGCAACTCTTTACCATATTCCCATTTATTTGCAAAAGCAAATAAAAGAATAACAGCATAACCGAATTGGTCTTCTAGTCCAGCTCCCTGCTCAAGCAGCAGACCCTCTACCATCTTAGACAAGTGACTATCCAGTCTCTTCTTAAAAACCTCCAGCGATGGAGCGCCCACAATTTCTGGTGGCCAGCTGTTCCACTGGTTAATTGTCCTCACTGTTAGGAAGTTTCTCCTTAATTCCAGGTTGCTTCTCTCCTTGATTAGTTTCCATCCATTGTTTCTTCTCTTGCCTTCTGGTGCTTTGGAGAATAATTTGACCCACATCTTCTTCTTTGTGGCAGCCCCTCAAATACTGGAATATGCCAGTATTGGAGCATCATTAACTGTTGGAGGCAACTCATTCCACATATCTGAATTAGTATAGGTTCTCCTGCTTGAGCAGGGAGCTGGACTAGAAGACCTCCAAAGTCCCTTCTATTCTATTCTATTCTATTCTATTCTATTCTATTCTATTCTATTCTATTCTATTCTATTCTAATATCCTATCCTATCCTATCCTGTCCTGTCCTGTCCTGTCCTATCCTATCCTATCCTATCCTATCCTATCCTATCCTATCCTATCCTTCATTCCAATATTCTGTTCTGTTCTGTTCTGTTCTATTCTACTCTCTGATTAATTATTCTAACTGTCAGGAAATTTCTCTTTAGTTCTAGATACAAATAAGCTTGTTTGCAATTTCCGAGCTCTCCTGAGGAGGTTCCATTTGTATCTCAGCTCTGCCTGTGAATTCAGGATCTGCCTTTCTTTCTTTCACCCTGTACTTGAGTGTACCTCTAGAGGATACTGAAGGATGAATTTATTTCTTCTTAATTTTATAAACTAGGAGATTCTAATCCAGGCATTATGAATGCAAACTGCTCCTTTCTTATTTCCGTTTCTTCCAAGAAGGTTTGTGGAAGATCACTGCTGAGGGTATTTCATATTTTATCCATGGACGGAATTCAGGTATGGGCTCAGATGAAATAAGGCAGATACAGAAAAAAATAGGTAATAGAAGCAGACTTTCACAAATCTAAACTGTATCACGACCATCTTTGATATGAAGCAAAGGGGGGGAAAAAACTCAACAAAGCGAAGGGTTTGTAACTTGTACTATTTGCTAATGTCAGGATAGGCCTGTTTGCTCAAATGAAAATAAAGGTCAAGGTAGAAGCCCAGTGGCTCTTTTGTTAATCAGTAACTGGAATCTCAATATAAAGCCTTTTTATGAATTCTACATGCCCATCGCCATCGTTATCAGATTAGAAGGCCCAACGGTATTGTTCAAATGTTCTGTTTTTTCCCCATCTCCAGGGTAGCTCATGCTGAAGTGTTTTGACCGTTTGAACACTTAGTTATTTTAGATTTCGTTGGGGATCCAGTAAGTAGTCTGGTGTGAAAATTGCAGAGAAGAAGAATATATCAGATTTTTATTTACCTAAAAGCTAATCGTTTAATTGTGAATGGTTTTTGAGTATTTCTTCTTCTTCTTCCGCATGCTTTCTTTCAGTCCAAACTGTCTGATTTCAAAAAAGACAATATCTACATTTATGGCTGCTTGGAAACCCTTTCAATAATTTTTTTTTCATGAAACAGAAAAAATAACTTGTGGTTTTGATGATTAGAAAAAACAAGTAGGTAATAAAAAAAATGAGGGTTTTTGTAATCACAGAGCAAAATAGAACATTGTAATCATACTGATATTTGTTGCAAAGGAAACTGGAAGCTTGTTTTATCCATTTACTTTTCTTTCTGCACTTTTGTCTTCTTCGCTCTCTCTTTTTCTTTCTTTCTTTTCTTTATTTTCACAGGACTATAGGGCTGAAGGGGATCTTAAAGGTCTTCTAGTTCAGCCCCCTGTCCAGGGCAGGAATCCTTATTCTATTCCAGACGAATGGCTGTCCAATCTCTTCTTGAAAGCCTCCAGTGATGGAGCACCAATTCTGGAGAACCGGTAGCATAAATTTTGAGTAGTTTGGAGAACCGGTAAATACCACCTCTGACTGGCCCCACCCCCATCTATTCTCTGTCTCCCAAGTCCCAGCTGATCGGGAGGAAATGGGGATTTTGCAGTATCCTTCCCCTGGAGTGGGGTGGGAATGGAGATTTTACAGTATCCTACCCCTGCCTTGTCCACCAAGCTACGCCTACCAAGCAGGGGTGAAATGCTCCCGGTTCGGACCGGCTCGAGCGAGTAGGTAGCGATGGCGGCGGGCAGTTCGGAGAACCGGTAGCAAGAATCCCTTTCCCCACAGCCTCCAGCTTTCTTACCTTCGCACGCCTGCCTTGCTTCGCTTGCTGTAATCCCTGCAATCCATTGCATCAGCAAGCAACTGAATCTCCCTGCCTGCAATCAAGCTCATCGGTGAGCAGCTCTTTCTGCCTGCCTGCCTGCCTGCCTGCCTACCTGTAAGTTTTTTTCCCCTTTGGGAGCTTTAAAAAAAATAGTTAATTAGGGGGTTTTTTAGTCGTTCTTTTTTTAGACCTAGCCATTTAAAGTTTAGGAAGTTTTAAATTTAGCTGCTTTTATATAAAAATAAAATAAAATAAAATAATATTTGTGCAGCTTTCTGAGATTTTGTGTGTTTCTGTAGTGTTTCACTCTAACTACACAAACACACAAAATCTCACAAAGCTGTATGTGGAATTTTTTTTGTGTAAAGTGTGAAAGTTGGTTTTTTGGACTTTTTGTGGCTGTGTGAGGTTCCTGCTTGTTGCAGGGGCCATTTTGGGTCTAGCACAGCTGCTTTTACATTGTGGGTGAGCCAGTTGTGTTGTGTTGTGTTTTGTAGGTTAAAAAAGGGCAAAGAAGTGACGTTGACTTGGCCACGCCCACCTGACCACCAAGCCACGCCCACCCAGTCACCTGACCACCAAGCCACATCCACTAATTAAGCCACACCCACAGAACCGGTAGCAAAAAATTTTAGATTTCACCCCTGCCACCAAGCCATTCCCACAGAACCAGTAGTAAAAAATTTTGAATCCCACCACTGATCTAGTTCCCTCAACTGTTCATTATCCAATTAAACCTCTAAACCAGTGATGGGTTGCCCCTGGTTTGGACCGGTTTGCAAGAACCAGTAGTAAAATCAGCAGGAGGTCCCGCCCACTGCCCCGGATGTCATCATCAGCGATCTGCACATGCGCAGAAGCAAGGTGCGTGTGCGAGCAAAGCGCGTGCATGTGTGATCCCGTTGCGAACTGTTAGCAAAGGTAAGCAGAACCCACCCCTGCTCTAAACCCCTTAATCATCTTTGTTGCTCTTCTCTGCACTTTTTCTATTTTGTAGTAGCCTATGTCAGTTTTTCTGTTCTCTTTAAAACTTTTAATAAAATATTTAGGTTTTATTAAAAACAAACTGATTCCATCTGGCCCTAACTGAAAGCTACTCAGTCCAACAATGGCACCCTTCCTAATATAGACACGTGAACCGTCCCTGTTCTCTAGAGCAGGGGTCCCCAACCTTGGCAACTTTAAGCCTGGAGAACTTCAACTCCCAGAATTCATCAGCCAGCAAAGCTTTATGCTCTAGAACATTGTTTCTCATTCTTGAAAGCAGGTGGATTTCAACTCCCAGAATTCCATCTCTCTGAAAACTGCCAAGGTTGGGAAACATTGATGTCAATGGGTGAAGGGGGTCTGATTTTAATATCAAAAGGGAGACCATTACATCACCTCCAGTGCTCATAAATGAGCCAGGCAGGTTATTAGGAGGACATGGATGAGGAGGAGGTAAAGCAGGATGAAAAATGATTGGTCTCTTTCCCTGCACTCCCCTGAAATGGAAATTAAATCACCCCCTCCCCCGTCATACACAAAAAGCTCATCTATGAAGGCAGAGGCAAAGAATTGAACAAACAATGCCGTCACATTTCCCCTGAACCAAAGTTCGACCTGGAACACGGTCAGATGCATTGACGCTGCAACTCCTCAGAAGGTTCCACACTTGCATCACTTCTCATCTTTGGCCTGCCAAAAGTTACACTATCATCACACGGCTGCCTTGACTCTGTTTTCAAATGAGGCTGGCAGCCATTCGGCAAGCTAAGCGTCATTTTCAAGAACGGCATTCCCCTGTGCCTGAAGAGAAAAGTCTTCCCTCAGTGTGTGCTACCTGCTCTAACATACGCCGGTGAAACATGGACACTAGCCTCGCAAGCGATACAAAAGCTACGAGTGGGGCAAAGAGCCATGGAATCACAAGACAAGACAGAATGACCTGCATGTGGATTAGAGAACAAACGAAAGTATAGGGCAGTGATGGTTAACCTTTTTAGTGCCAAGTGCCCAAAGAATGCGCACTCGCGAGCAAATGCTTGCACATATGCCCGAACCCCCAAATGCAATGCGAGTGCCACCCCATGCATATGCCCCACCCCCATGTATGCATACATGTCCCCTGCGCATGTGCCCCAGACCCCCCCACACACCCCATTTTGGCTTCCAGATTGGTGGAGGCTTTCAGGGCCCAAAACGAGGCATGGGGAGGGCAGCTCCCCAGGCCCCATTTTGGGCCCGGAAAACCTCCTGCACCAACCTGAAAGCCAAAACGGGGCGCCAAGCAAGCCCCCTCCCTATTTTAGGCCGGAAAGCCTCCTGCACCAACATGCACCCCCCCCCATGCACATGCCCCACCCCCATGCATGAGCACGCATCCCCTGCATGTGCCCTGCCCCCCACACATGCGCGGCAGAGATCCTAAGACCAGCTGGTCAGTTGGAGGCGTGCCAACATACGCGGTGGAGCTGGGCTGGGGCGACGGCTGGAGTGCCAGCAGAGAGGGCTCTGTGTGCCACCTATACACCATCACGGGTATAGGGTATCACCAAGAGAGTAAAAGAATTGAGATGGAAATGAATTGGTCGCAGAGCAAGAAGGACTGAGGGCAGGTGGACCAAGGTGGTCATAGAATGGATCCCACTTGATTAAAAGCATCCATGAAACAGACCTAAAACAAGATGGAGAGGCGACATCAGCAAGTATGGCGGGCCCAATTGGCAAAAGAAGGCTCAGGACAGTTTTGGTTGGAAACATGCAGAAGAGGCCTTCATCCTGCAGTGAACAGACAGTGGCTAAAATGAGGATAATGATGACTCTGGTTTCCAACAGAAAAGGTCATACGTGACAGTCATGTGTGATCCTGGAGCACTGCAAATGGTTGTAAATGCGAACCGATTGCCAAGAGTCCTAAATGTGGTCATGTGACTGTGGCCATTGGAACTTCAAATCTGGGTCATAAGCATGCCATAATTTCGACAGGCGGTCTGTCATAACTTTGAACAGTCACTAATCGTAAATCGAGAACTACCTGTGCTTAAATGAATTGTACAATCCATTGAACAATTTAAACTGAGTTTAAATCTTCATAAAATCATGTCCTTCTTCTTTTAGTCCCAGACCCCTCTCCCTCCAGTCAGCTTTTGCAAGGCCTCCTCCCGGCCTCTGATACCCCTCCACCTTAGGACAAATCCAGAAAGGTTGCTGACCTCCCTTCGAAGCATTCCCTGGGGAGATTTACCACGGGATCCCTTGCTCAGGGTAGGGGATTATCCAACGGAAAGGTTCTCCTGGCTGTTTGGCTACCTTTCCCTCCTTTCCAGGGGGTTGACTCATTGCCCCTCCCTGCTTCCTCACTTTGGAGACCTTTCGAAGGAAGCCCCAACCAGAGGAAAAGCCACCAGAGATGCCCTTTGAGCCTCCAGAGAACCACCAGCACAAAGGTTGCTTCTTCTCCCTTCCCAGATGCTCGCAGGATGCTGCACCTGATCCACTGGATTACAGAGGATCCCGCTCAACCTGGCAGCCCTGAGGGCTCTTCAATGGAGTGAGGTTTCTTCTGTTGGACTTTCATGCAAACGTGGGCTGACTTTGAGCCTTTGCCAAGGGCTGCACGAGAATCAAGAGCAACCTGCTATTCCAAACTGCCTCTGGCAATTACCTCGCCTAACCTCTTTCCGTGCCAACTTTCCCAAGGCTTGTTCTCCCTGCACGATGTGTCCTCTTTTAAGCCGGGGTGTTGCTGTGTCTGGACTGTCAGCATCACCCCCCTGTTGGGACATTCAAAGCCCCACCTGCTTCTGCTATCTGGATGTGTCAGGCAACCGCAGACCCAACGCGAGACTTAAGTTGCCACTCCCCCCTCACACCCCTTTTCAACCTTCCTAGGGGCAGGTCCTTCCTCTGCCGATCGAGAGTGGGGTCCATGTCAGACCCTCGGAAACGGGAGGTTTGCACGGAGGTCCCTCCTTTCCCACAGCATTCCTCCAGTTCTCAGAAGCCCGCCTTCTCAGCCACATCGCCTGGATCTAACCGCATTCGGTACAGCCGAAGCTGCGAGCACCTCACAGAGCCTGGAGATGTAGCTACGCCCTTCCCACAAGACGGATCAGGCAAAGGCAGTGAAACTCCTCCTTGTCAAGGGCTGATTGATGTTGCTATCTGGGTTCTTAATTTTTTTTTACTTTGATCTATTATTATGGTCTTAACCCAGGGCTGAAGCATCACTGGAGGCGGGGAAACAGTGCATGTTTCCAGCCTGCCTCTTTTTCGCGCATGCACCGTGATCTCATGAATCGAGAAAAAGAACACTGTGCAGGTAGTCCTCGACTTACGATCACAGCTGATCCCAACATTTCTGCTGTTAAGTGAGACATTGGTTAAGTGAGCTTTGCCCCATTTTACGATTTTTCTTGCCACAGTTGTTAAGTGAACCGCTGCAGTTGATCAGTTAATAACAGGGTTGTTAAGTGAATCTGGCTTCCCCATTGACTCTGCTTGCCAGAAGGACGCAAAAGGGGATTACTTTACTTTACTTTACTTTTATTTAATTTGTATACCGCCCTTCTCCCGAAAGACTCAGGGCGGTGAACAGCCAACAATAAAATACATACATACAAAATTTAAAAAACAGAAATAAAATCGAATTAAATAATTTGGCCCAGACAGATTAAAACCCCAATCAATTTAAAACAGATTTAAACTTTGAAAATTAAAAGATATTAAAAATATTAAAATATTAAAATTGTTTAAAAAGAGGGAGAAAATTAGGCCAGGCCCGCCTGGTGAAATAAAAAGGTCTTTAGAGCGCGGCGGAAGGTGCGCAGATCCGGGGGGAGCTCGTTCCAGATAGTAGGTGCCCCCACAGGACCCAGGGACACAGCAATGGTCATAAGTATGAACCAGCTGCCAACCATTTGAAATTTCAACAATGGATGGAAATCAAGAAGAGAACCAATCAAGAAATCAAGAAGAGAACCAATCTAGAACTAAGGAGGAATTTCCTGACAGTAAGAATCACCCTGGCCACGGGCCCTTCTGAGGTCAAACACAATCCTGATGTGGCCTTCAATGAAATTTGAGTTTGACACCCGTGCTGTAGACACTGTGCCCCTTTCTCTACAATGCAGAGGCAGGGAAGCCTGGCTTACTTTCAGAACTGGAGTTAGGAGAGAGTATTAACTTTGTTAGAACATTGAGATGCTGTCAACCTTCAACCCAAAGGGAAAAGATCAAAGGAAAAAACCAAGAAAGTCCAGTTGCCTTTTGGAAAAAGCACCTTTGGGATAACCATGACCTGGATGATGGAGAATCTCCATAGACCTGTCAACCTTCAAATTGTTATAATTCTGCTCGCAATGGAGAACCGTGGCTCCTTGCGATCTTCTAAGATTTATGGATGTTCTGACAATGTATATCCTAAAATTTCAACGACGTTCCTGATAATCCTGATATTCATGGTAAGAAAGAGAAGAACCATGCTTAATTGTAAACTGGTTGCAGCAGCCAGTTGTCTTCCAGTTGTCTTCTTGGTTACAGGAACTTACCCCCATGCTATTGTTGGCTTAGCAGATTTGGGGAGAGTTGCCTTCATTGTCAGAAACCAAAGGCACATATGGATTTAGAGAATGAATTACTGCAACGCGCTCTACATGGGGCTACCCTTGAGAAGTGTTCGGAGACTACAGTTAGTCCAGAACGCAGCGAGCTATCGTGGGTGCACCTAGATACCCCCACATTACACCAATTCTCCGCGAGCTGCACTGGCTCCCTATTGATCTCCGGTCACAATTCAAGGTGTTGGTTATTACCTTTAAAGCCCTACATGGCTCAGTGCCAGGGTATCTTCGAGACCGCCTTCTGCCGCATAGCTCCCAGCGACCGGTAAGATCCCACAGAGTTGGTCTCCTCCGGGTCCCGTCAGCTAAACAATGCCGGCTGGCGGGCCCGCAGGGGAGGGCCTTCTCTGTGGCTGCCCCGGCTCTCTGGAACCAGTTACCTCCTGAGGTCCGGACCATCCCCACCCTACTGGCCTTCCGAAAAGCGGTGAAGACCTGGCTTTTCCAGCAGGCCTGGGGCCGTTGATCTCGCTCTTGCGATCTGGTGAGATCCGGCCATGAATGCTGTGAATGAGTTTTAATGTTTTTAATTTTTAAATGTTTTTTATAATGATTTTTTAAAATGTATTGTGAGCCGCCCTGAGTCTTCAGAGAGGGGCGGCATACAAATTGAATTAATTAATAAATAATAAATAATAAATTACGCTTTTCATATATTTTTGATTCATATGCAGTGATTAGAATGCAGTATTGCAGGCTGACTCTGCCAACTGCCAGGAGTTCGATCCTGAGAGGCTCAAGGTTGGCTTAGACTTCCGGCTTTCTGAGGTCAGCAAAATGAGGACCCAGATTGTTGCGGGCAAGAGGCTGACTCTGTTAACCGCTTCGAAAGGGCTAGAAAGCAGTAGTGGGTTCAATTTCATCTGCTACCGGTTCGCTTGTGGGCGCTCGCGCACTCCTGCATACATGCTACACTTCTGCACATGGGCAGAGACATCCAGTTAGGTTGGCGGAGCCTCCCGCCACCGGCGGTGCTGGTTTGCCCAATCCAGGGCGAATCGGTAGCAACCCACCATGCTGTAAAGTATTGTAAAGTAGTATATAAGTCTAAGTGCTATTGCTATTGTCTCTGAAATGCACCTGAAGCAGCATGGCAAATGAAAAGAACGCAAGCACTAACAATAAGCAACGGCTTACTAATATTTGTAAATTACAAAGCCACAATTAGAGAAACAGTTGCAGTAAGTATTCCAGCTGAATGAATTTATCTAAAGCAGTAGAAATTCCACTCCTATAAAACAAACAAACAAACAAACAAACAAACAGTTAACTTCCCTGAGGTTTATAACGTTAATAATAAGGCTCTTTCCTGCCTTGTTTTTCCTGAAGATGCTTTTCTGGGAGCTGAAGCTTTAACCCAGTGACAGGCAACCATTCAGACATTGAGGTTACACATTGGCTTCCCCAACAAAGAGTTTATTGCAGTATCCTAACTTCACCCACACCTGTACTTGACTTGGCTATTGATTGTAGTGGATGAAAACAAAGGAGGACAAGAGGATCAGGCTATCCGAGGCAGGCAACAAAAAAACTCAAGATGGTGGCCCAAATACACAGTCTAAGCCCCGCCCCTTTGGGTGCCATCTTTTTTTTACACCTCTCCCCCAAGGGCACCCCTCTAATGCAGTGGGCAGAAAATAGGGGGGCAAAGCAAGGGATCATCTTCTTCTCATTGCTGATATATTCCTGGGGTGCAATTAAATTCTAGTTTATCATCTATTCTCTTGTGTTTCTGAGGCTGTATTGATAAAGCAGGTCATTGAGGAGAAGCAAGTTGAGGATTGATTTCATCTGAGGAAGGCAAAATCCGTGCCTGATTTACAGATTACAGATTAACAGAGTTGGAAGGGACCTTGTAGGTCATCTAGTCCTACCCCATGCCCAAGCTAACCCTACACCATTTTTGACTGAAGGCAGTCCAGTCTTTTTGCAAGAATTCGTTTGCAAGAATGAACTGTTGAGATGGGTAGTTTGTCATTTGAATTTCTTCTTTTTCCATCAAAAGGGCAAGAAGAGCTGAGCTACTGAGCTCCGGATGGCTCCTGATCTCCACTCCTTCCGTCAGGACCTGAAGATTTGGCTGTTCAAGCAAATAGGCTGACTCTGATTCTGGGTTTTATTATTTATTATTTATTAGTTAATTTGGTTTAAAATGGGATTTTGTTGTACATGTTTTTAACTTGTGTTCGCCGCCCTGAGTCCTTCTGGAGAAGGGCAGCATATAAATACATGAAATGAACAAACAAACAAACAAACAAACAAATAAATAAATAAATAAGAAATAAGACATGGGAGCTGTTCTATTTATCATATAATTTCCCATAATTCCCCCTTTTTCTTTCTTTTTTGCTTCTTTTTTAATTGCTAGGCTTAACAGCATTGAGGCAACATTGATCCTCTAGTGCGATTGTGTTGGATCTGTGTTCTTCTTTGAACCCAAAGGACTGTCTATAATTGGATCTATACTTTGCTTGATTCATATACTTTTAAAAAGTAATACATGCATGGATTATATCCAATCCTTGAAGTCCCATCTAGGGAAAGGAGGAATTTTGACTATTAAAAAGCAAACTGCAATTAAGTTTTGTTTTGTTTTGTTTTGTTTTTTGTTTTTTGTTTTTGTTTTTTTTTGCTTTAATTTATATGCCGCCCTTCTCCGGAGACTCAGGGCGGCTTACAGTGCATTAAGCAATAGCCTTCATACTTTTTGTATATTTTATACAAAGTCAGCTTATTGCCCCCACAAACTGGGTCCTCAATTTACCTACCTTAGAAAGGATGGAAGGCTGAGTCAATCTTGAGCCTGGTGAGAATTGAACTTGCAGTAATTGCAGGCAGCTGATGTTAATGACAGTGCTTTAGTCTGCTGCGCTACCAGAGCTCCTAGTCCGAAGGTTCCTTTTTAGCTGCAGGATAACTCACTGTGATAGTTATTCCAACCAAAGCTGACATTTAGGAATACAGCCAGTCCTCAATTTACGAACACCACTGAGCTCAAAATTTATGTTGCTACATGAGAAATTTGTTAAGGGAGTTTTGCCCCATTTTACGACTTTTCTTGCCACATCTGATAAGTGAATCACTGCAGCTCTTAAATTAGTAACACAGTGGTTAACCTGTTGACTTTGCTTGCCAGAAGGTCACATAAGGGGATCACATGACCCTGGGACACGGCAACTGTCATAAATGTGAGTCAGCTGTCAAACATCTGGACATAAATCACATGAGGCTGCAACAATCATAAGTGTGAAAAATGGCCATAAGTCACTTTTTTCAGTGCCGTTGTCACTTTAAACTAAGCGAACTGTCGTAAATCGAGGACTGCCTGTACTCCAGGCAGAAAAAGATTTTTGATTGAGCTGGGAATGTTGCTCCTGCTTTTCTTCCTAGCCTCTCCTTCTGGGAGTGTCAAGGTGGATCGATTTGGACAAGAAGATCATTGTAACTGAAACACAACCCTTCTGCTTTCTGAATGGAGGAGAGAAGGTTCTCTCACCACCACCACCTCCTCCTCCTCCTCCTCCTCTGCGTGGTGATGAGATTATCAGTGGGAATGTGGATTATGGACAGATCCTTCTTAACACGCACTGAGGTCGCAACTGCAGGAGGACTTGCCATTCTCAAAGCACATAATTAGCCTGTGAATTCAGGGCCGTGAAATATGGGAGGTGGGGGATGGATCCTGGCATGCCTGCCTTACAGAAAGGATTAAGACAGCTCTTAGTCACGCCTTAGTAGGCAAAACCTCCACTTTGGCATCAGAGGACAAAAGAGGACAGAGAACGACTTGGGAGAAAAAAAACATGGCAGCTCACTTCCAGGTTCTCTGTTCCTTCAAATGGGGAAATAATGACTGCCAATGAAATAGAAATTTGGTATTTTTCCCCCCATAGCAAAGAAACTGAAGGCCTGTTTAGATGCTGGCTGCCAAGAGGATGTTTCAAAAAAAAATTCCTGCCTGCTTTGAGTTCTGGCTTTGACTGAATTGTGTAAGATTTCCTAAAGGTTTGAAGACCACAAAACATTTTTAAAAATATGTCTATCTGTCTATCTGCCCACCCCTCTCTATGCCTCCCAGTCTTCCTCCTCCTCCTCCTCTCCACAAATACCTATACCAGGGGTGAAATCCAGCAGGTTCTGACAGGTTCTGGAGAACCAGTAGTGGAAATTTTGAGTAGTTCGGAGAACCGGCAAATACTACCTCTGGCTGGCCCCAGAGTGGGGTGGGAATGGGGATTTTGCAATATCCTTTCCCCCAGGAGAGTAGGGAATGGGGATTTTGCAGTATCCTTTTCCCTGGAGTGGGGTGAGAATGGAGATTTTGCAATATCCTTCCCCTGCCATGCCCACCAAGCCACGCCCACAGAACTGGTAGTAAAAAAAAAATTGGATTTCACCACTGACCTATACCCATAACTATTTCTTTAAAAAAATAACAGTAAGAATGGTGAAACAAAAAGGTGTGAACAATATTCTTCCTTTACACTTAAGACACTAATTCTAAAACTTAATGGCATGGAGGTGTTTGTAGAAGCTGACATATTTCATCAACTTCTGGAGTGAGGTTTGTTCAAGAAAATCTAACAGGCGTCAGAGCATTCAACTCATTTCAGAATTGGTTCTTGGCTGGTGCTGAAAACCTGCTTTTTAACAAAGAGATGTTGAAGGACAAGGTAATTGCTTATCTAACATCTCCAAGTCACAACGGGAAAGCTGGCATTCCACAGAATGTTATTTAAGAAACTCTGGGACGGAGGACACCTTCAGACTGAAGACTGTCCTTTACTCATGCCATCCTAGTTCAAGGTTACAGGATTGTAAGCCAGAATCTGGACCCCAAAGAAGGTGGCTTGATTCACACATTTTGCTTTGCCAGTTTATGGTTGACTTAGTTTGGGCTTAGTACAATATACTGACCCAGTCTTAAGTACCGTTTTTCGGACTATAAGATACATAGGTGTATAAGACGCACCAAGATTTTTTTTTATTGAAAAGTTTTAAAATGTTTTACAAACAAATTCCCCCCCTTCACCCCCCTTCCCCTCTCCCCCCCCCCGACTTCCCAGAGCAAAATACAGGGTATTGCATTTAACAAACATAATCTAACATAAGCAAACTAACTATAAACTCTTAACTTCCCCTTACTCTTTAACTCCGCCATAGGTACTAAAATATCAAAGTAAAAAAAAAAATCATCTAAATATTTCATTCATAAGCTATTTGCAACTTTTTAGTCCCATATTTGTTTTGCGTATAGTCAATCCATCTTCTTCATTCCAGTACATATCTTTCATTTGAACGGTCCTTCAAATATGCAGAGATTTTAGCCATCTCCGCCAAATTAGCTACTTTTAATGTCCATTCTTCAATAGTAGGTATTTCTTCCTTCTTCCAATATTGCACCACCAAAAGTCTGGCTGCAGTTATTAAATTCAAAATCAGATTAGTCTCTATAACTGTACATCCTTCAATTATACCCAATAAAAACAACTGGAGTAAATTTTATCTTCCTTTTAAGAATATTTTGTATAATGCACCATATCTTAATCCAAAATGCCTTAATTTTCTTACATGTCCACCATACATGAAAATATGTTGCATCATCACATTTCCATCTCCAACATGTAGATTGTAAACTCGGGTACATACAGGCTAACTTTTGGGGATCTAAATGCCATCTATAAATCTTGGTGCAAGACGCACCAAGATTTTGAAGAGGTAAGCAAGAAAAAAAAGATTTTTGCCCTCTCCGGCTCCCAGAACACACTGCAGGCCTCCCAAAGCCTCTGTGTGCCCCGTTTTTGCAAAAAATGGGCCTGTTTTTCACAAAAATGGGATGCACGGGGCAGGGCTTCGGGAGGCCAAAAATGGCTGTATTCAGTGTATGAGACACACCAACATTTCCACCCTCTTTAGGGGGGAAAATGCATCTTATACTCCGAAAAGTATGGGCGTGCAATCCATAGTTTATAGTACTGTTTCTCAACCTCAGCAACTTTTAAAATCTGTGTGCCTCAACTTCCAGAATTCAGAAGTGGATTAGGGTTGCCAGGTGTCCACTATTTGAGCGGACAGTCCACTTTTTTCACATTATGTTCCCTATTTTTTTTCACAAAATAGTGGACATTTTTTTTTATTCAAAAGCTTTATGATGAAATGGTACGTAATCTAAAGCTGTACAGTCTAAGAGAATAAGGGTAGGAGAATTGCGTTTTGTCTTTTTTTTCATAAGTTAGAATGAGACAAAGATCGAATATCCATTGAACTCGATTCTCCGAAAAAATTAATGATGAGATTAAAATAAAAATATATTATAAAATGATGTACAGTTCACATTTTTAAAATGTATTGTAGCTTGTGTCGACTGACCTAAAATGGCGTGTTAAAATATTTGAAGAAAATATATAATTTAATTGTAATTTTTTTTTATTTTTTTACTACTTAACAACCCCCCCCCCGGCTTGTCCGCTATTTTTTGGAAGCAGACCTGGCAACCCGAGAAGTGGTTTGCCATTGCCTGCTTCCTAGGGCTGAGAGACAGTGACTGGCCCATGGTCATCCAGCTGGCTTTGTGCCCAAGGTGGGACTAGAACTCTCCATCTCCCAGTTTTCATCTTATGTCTTAACCACTGCACCAAACTTTCCTAGAGGAAAGACGGGACTATTTTATTTATTTACAGCATGTATTTAAAGCAAAAGTTGTTCCTAAGGGAGAGAATGATAAACCGTGAGAGAAGATAAAGTCTCCCTTGGTTTGATATCTTTTCCAAAGAGAAGTGTAGGCTTGTTAGGGCCCCGTGGTCCCCTGGCCATCATTAAGGAAACAATGGGCCTTGTTTCCCTGGGTATGTGCTATTTATTATTATTATTATTAGTTCAATTTATATGCCGTCTTTCTCCGGAGACTCAGGGCGGCTTACAATGCATTTTAAAAAAAACATAAAAACATTTAAAAATTAAAACATTAAAACCCATTCACACCATTCATGGCTGGATCTCACCAGATCGCAAGAGTGAGATCAACGGCCCCAGGCCTGCCGGAAAAGCCAGGTCTTCACCACTTTTCGGAAGGCCAATAGGGTGGGGGTAGTCCGGACCTCAGGAGGTTCCAGAGATCCGGGGCAGCCACAGAGAAGGCCCTCCCCCGCAGGCCCGCCAGCCGGCATTGTTTAGCTGACAGGACCCGGAGGAGACCAACTCTGTGGGATCTTACCGATCACTGGGAGGTATGCGG